GTTTTACGATGGTGGATCAAAGTATTTTGGTTTGACTATAGAGCGTGAGAACACGCACACAGTCATAATTATTTTAGTGTGAATAAAACTAGCATCGAAATTACCTAAACTTGACATGCCACGCTAGACGTAAACGCTCTTAATTTACAGGTAATTTAAAATAAATTAAGGTTTAGAGTAGGCGCACACCGTTGATTTTTATTACAAGCTTTATATTGACTTCACTTGTTAGTATGTGTGGGACAAATCTTGCAACTGAATTTAAGACCAGTTCTCCTCAACCGATTGAGCTGAAATTTGGTATACTTATGTAAGTACGATGACAATGCAATATTATGGTACCATTGAGCTGGTCTGATGATGGAGTCGGGAGGTGGCCATAGGAACTCCTAAACAAAACGGCGGAAACTCATAGAGTTTGAGTTCGTTGGATTTGTCTTTTCGAGCACTTTAGTGTTAAATAATATCCAGGGTCCTGAGATTAAGATATAACTAAAAAGTGTGAAATAAAATAATAATAAAAATAAACTTTTTTAAAAACAAGCTTTTATTCTGAATTTCGAAAGCTTGTAGCGCAAACAGATAAAAAGAGGAATAAATTCCATGCGCGATACAAGCTTTCGAAATTCAGAATAAAAGCTTGTTTTTAAAAAAGTTTATTTTTATTATTATTACTTGTCCGATAGTTGTGCCCGATTTTAAATTGTATGAAGAATCGGCCAAATCGAATCGGCGTAGTGTGCGCACTCCCATACATGCCCATACTGATCAACTGCCCGACTAAACTATCGGCCGACGAAAAATCAACGGTGTGCGCCTACTCTTAAAGACCAATATGAAGTGTATTTTTAGAAAAGTTGTGATTTCGAATTATTGGGGAATGGTGTCAAATAGTGTATGGTTTCAGATGCTGGTCTCGCTAGTGATGCTGATCCCCGACAACCTGACGACGCTGATCACGTACTGCACCGTAGTGGAGTCTTTCTTCACCACGCTGAGTTGCAGCGCCGTGCTGTGGCTGCGGTACAAGAAGCCCGACCTGCCGCGCCCTATTAAGGTATTGTCTGACCCACAGAAAGATACACAGACAGACACATATGCCTATAATGATATTGGCAGCATTTTGTCCAGGCCTGTCAAGGTATGGACATACATACCCAGTTTAAGCGCTCCTGCACACGACGCCGCCGCTGCGCCTTCGCACTGTTTATACGCGCCGCCGCGCCGCAGGCGAAATTATGCTTTGACAGCGCGGTGGCGGCGCAGCGGCGGGCTTTACTCGGCGCGTATGAACAGTGTAGGGGTGTGGCGACGGCGCGGCGGCGGCGCGGTGGCGGCGTCGTGTGCAGGAGCGCTAATACCGCGAGCAATTTGCCCACGCCTGTACACGCTTTGCCCAACCTTTACTACGCTCACCTGCAGCGCCGTGCTGCCGCCGCCTATTAAGGTACCAACATTCATACACACATCCTTAAATGCTGTAAAACTTTCCACCATTGAATGTGCCACTTCCATAAAATTCTCTTAAAACCAGTATTTTTGATGAGCCGGTTTTTGCCACTTGAACAGACCGGCCATAGGCACTAGACGACAGAGGTGGTTAAAACTCTATTTCCCCAGACATTTGGATTTCATCAGATCTCTCTTTGTATCCATATCCTCTATTTCCTAAGGCCTGTTTTAATTTACTGCTTCTTTTCTTTTTACTACACTCACGAGCAAAAATATGGACCTACCTACCTCACCTACCTCACCCTATTTGTTTCGAGCGATCACAAAAACTAAATGATTAATATAAGACAAATAAAAGTAGTACAATTTTAAATATAATTTTATAAACTTTAAATTGATACCATAGATACATACATATAATCATTCAGTTTTTAAGACCGCTCGGTACAAAATACAAAAGCGGGTGATTCCATAATTTTGCTCGTAAGTATATAATTATCCTCCAACTCCAGGTCCAGACGTGGATCCCGGTGACGTTCGTGGTGGTGTCGACGATCCTGATGGTGGTGCCCATTCTGAGCGAGCCAGTAGCGGTGGTGGCGGGCGCGCTCATCACCTTCGCTGGCGTGCCCGTCTACTGGGCGTTTGTGCGCGCCAAACCGCGCGTCGTGCGCGACCTGTCCAGTGAGTATCACCACAGTACTACGTACAGAAGTTTTACTTCGCGAAGGTATTAAAAAAATGTATGCTCAATGTCATTAACAATATGGTGTAATTTAGCCTGTCTCAAGAGTCAAGCACCGTTTTGTTGACAAACGTCAGTGATCGGCACTGCGCCGAAGCATAGGGCTGACTTCGGTAAAATGATGTGACGTGAGGTGCCAAACTGCGGAAAATGGCGGAGGAAATGCATGATTTAGCATGAATTATCAAAAATAATATTAACTACTTATCTACCTCTCAGTGTCTTGAGGCAACTTAAAAAAGTACATTCTGTGTTTTTATTATTATTTAGGCAGTTAAATACTGCACAGTATTTAGTACACAATTTTCTTTATTTTTTTCCATCATACACAAGAATACGCGTGTGTGAGTCAATGTTCGCTCGTATGTGAGGCCTTGTCGAATAGTAATCCTATAAAGGGCCATCGTGCGTGTTTTGTTTTCGATGTAAACTCGTGGAGATGAACAGGCCTGTAGGCCTAAGATGCGCGCATCGACAATGACATGATAGGATAAGACAATTTTCGATCACGTAGATAATTTTATCATTTTCCCTAACATGGAACCATCGATAGAAAAGTCTATCGACCGCTATCGCGTGATAACCGAATTGTTGCCATATTAAGAAAAAATTGCGTTATTATGTTGGCCAACCTTGAAATATTTTAGCTCATTCGTTCAATCTCGTTCATTTCTGCTACTATTTCGGCTAAAAACACATATCATAAAGCAGTGAGAACGTCATTAAAAAAAAGTTATGTCAATTTGTTGACATTACATGACTGCTTGATTGTATTTGTTTGTGTTTTTAAAATTGTATTTTTATGTTTCCAGTCTTATTTTTAATATTTCTAAAGTACGGAAAATATCAAACGAAGAGATAACCAAGTTAATGAAAAACAATGAAGAATTCCTAATCATACCGACAGTATTAAAGAATGAAGTCTTCAAAATTAACAGAATAACCGAACTCCACTACCTACCCCATAATGCGAGGTTTACAGTAATTATTCAACTTACATGAAGCAGTCAGAAAGTTTATTGAGATTTGAGAAATAAAGTTACACTCATAAGTAGCAAAGTAAGTACCTAAAGTCTAAAATATTAGCTATACTCCGCAGATCTTGATTTTCATAAGTAACAGCACCGGAGAAAAGGAAAAATATCTTTATTCCTACAAATAAGCTTTCACCTTCTTTCCTATATTTATTTCACATAGTTCTTTCACCGTGTAATAATACTGTGATCAATATTTTGTATGTAAACTTAAAATACAAATAGGATTAAGTAAATGTTTCTATTTATGAACTGTTTATGTAATTGTAATATTTATAATTGTGTTTAAATAATATTCTTTCTTTTTTCAGACAGTGGATGAAGAAGTGTGGGATTATGAGTGATTATTTCATTCTAAAGNAAAGTATCACAAAGGTGCTAGATTCCTTTCTTTGAATTTTACTAGCCTCAAATAAGTCGTAAAATGTCATTTACCATTATAAATGATAAATAAATAGAGTTAAAGTAGCTTGCAAAAAAGTTAATCTCCTATCGTCTTGCTATCGTGGGCAAGGATCGAGGACGATAAAAACAGCACATCCTATCCTATCGTGATGTCAAAATATGATATAGTTAGCGCTTCATGTTAGGGCTTGCCAGGTTTATCACAAAAAAAAAACAAATCTATCACTATCACATTTTGACAGATGACATGATAATTTTCGGGGTGCCATGTTAGCGCCGGTAGATAAAACGATATAGTGACGTCAAAATCGATATAACGCCGCGATAGCAGTTTATCACGGAGCGCATCTTAGCCCTGCTGGTATCACTCATAGATCACAGAAACTAAAGGTAGATGTGACAAGGGGGCTGGGCCGGTGTCGCAGCAATATGCCCAAAAACAGAACACATTGCTCGTGAAAGCAATGATGACAGCAGTGACGTCATAATGTAGACAGTTTACATTGCTTGCGTAGTACTAAAGATTATTCGAACGTTGAGTACTGATACCGCAGTGGATAATGAACACATATTTTGATTTCTTTGTGTGAATTTCAATTGCGTCACTGAGTTTCGAACTCAGCGCATTAGTTGGCATCTCTCTATATCTCTATGGTATCACTACATAGTCGCTTTTCGCTGTCCCTATGTATAAGTATACACAGGGATATTGATGCGGTTCTTTAATGTAAACTCGCACATTTGAGAGTGATGATATTAAGTTGAGTGAGTGTCGTCCGAATGTCCCGTGCGAATGATGAACAAATGAAAAAGTGAGTTATGAATAGAAAAGTGAAGCCGATCGAATGAGTCAAGTACAAGTGATTGAGTGCAGAAAGAATGAATGTTGAACTGCGAGTGAAATCCTAATCGCGAGAATGAATGAACACTCAAAAAGGAATGAATGTCATGCTAGTGAGTGAGAGCCTAATGCATGAGTGACTATCAAATTAGTAAAAGAGTGAATGTGAATGGGCGCCGAATTGCAAAGCAAGGGAGTCCCGAATCAACCTTCTTTATGAATATTCTGTGACATACAATTTATTGATATTATTGCAATCATAGATTGCCTATTGATACAACCTTTTTTTCATTTCAGCAAAATTCACACACACATGCCAAAAATTGTTCCTGTCGGCGGTCGAAGAAAAAGATGACTAAAGCGTATCATTAAGATCTGAAAACTGCTGAAGGAATCTCACAGGAATCTGCGGTTTATAAGGTTTTTCGTTTTATTTTTATGAATAGTTACCGTAGATGTACACTGGTCATTACAAAAATCGACCCTCCCGCGACAAGGACTTTCAAACGTATGCATTTCCACTTCTCACAAATGGTGGCACCATTTGAAAGCCTAGTTCTAAAGTTCATTTCATTAAAAGAAAGGTTTTTACCCAGATCCAGAGTCACTTCTTCAAAAAATAGGTAGTTAGGCTTGTGCCAACTTTTATGGTTTTAATACTGTTAAGTTGGGATTAATCGCTATCCATCTGTTAAAGAGGACACGTGAGATCATTATTTGGTTTTATAACCATAAAAATTGGTCTAATTGATCCCAGAGGTGAGCCCAAAGTTAGGTCTTTTTTCAAGTCACATTTATTGTTAGTTTCAATATGTTAATCGTTTATTAAGAAATTAAATGTGTTTTCTTTATGGATATTTATTGGGCTTTTAAATAACACCAATATTGTTGGGGCACCATGATTGTGTCAGTAGAAATGAGTTTTCCTGTAAAACGTAGGTGGGCCGATTTTTGTGATGACCAGTATATTTATATCTAACATGTGCTATTTCGACTAGCGGAAGAGTAGATTTAACTTGAATATTCTTTGGTAGTTGGTACTCATTCCGCCTACATATGGTTTTCGTTGCGGGTGGGTACCGTTTCACTCAGTTACCAAAATGACAGGGTTACATTGATTTTTACTCTCGGATCTCGGATATACTAAAGTTTTTATTTTAACTTATTTTGAAATTTATAAGTAACCCTGCGAGTAAGTTTTTGTATCGCGCTGTAAATAAACTGTAATTAATAACCATTTTTATATATTTACTCAGCATTAGTATTTACCATTATATGGATAGATGCTCGTATATTTTAGTGGTACACCGACTGTGTATAAACTTCAACGCTTCGGTGATCTACCTCAAAGGTAGGCACTGTTTGTTTTTCGTGTTTATTTTGCGATTTCTAGTAGTTAACTAGTGAGTTTATTCTATGGGGTATATCGATTTCATATATTGCAAATATTTCGATGGTTTTATTTAATGTGCGTTGACCATTGACTAAATTATGAGCACAGAAAGGTCTATTTTAATTTGGAACTTAACCCTATTTAGAACGTCAAGTCAATGACAATTTTAACCCCTTTTTATCAGTTTTATTGAATTTATCTTAACTTGTTGTGAAGTTTTACTTGTATTTGGTTGTGATAACTATTAATTTATTTTTGAAATTTTAAAAATTACGAATTTTAATTTATAAAGTCTATGCTCTGAATAAGTATTAATATAGCTTGTTTTATTTGAGTTAAAATTTGAATCGTGTTGTGTGTTTTCTCATGTTTTCTCGTATTTAAATAGAATACTGTACCATACTGTGTACCTGTATTGCCCAACATAATTTCAGTCATAATTTAGACTTTACCTAATGTAGATCTCTAATTAGTATAGTTATTTATTTATTTATTTTTTTGTACAGTCGGCATCAATGGTAATGGATTGCACAAATATTTCAAAAGTTATTTATTTATATTGAATGGTCGGCTATTAAATTATAATTATTTCCAAAGGAAAAAACGCAATTATTTAAAGTGATTAGATTTGGATTTTTAAGCCGTACTTTTTGATGCAGACTATACTTGTTTGGTGCATGAAAATAACTTATAAAGTGTACTTACATCTATTAATTTACTTAAATTGGCCGAACTGACCGTAGGTATTTGGGGCCCTAGGATAAACTTATAATATTGCTATCAGAAAGCATTTTAATTAATAACTAATAATGTATCAATTTATAACTAAGTGCAAATGCATTCACGGGGCCTTAATTTCGTAGATCATGTAAAATAAATGATTATAAGAGTTATGTACAGTCAATTAGAGCACCACTCAATGTATACTGATGTCTTTGTCTCTGACTGTACATGTACAATGACTACATTTCTTGCACAGAAATTAGAATTTACTTTACCAAAGATGGAATTATGCCAAAAACTTAATGCTACAATTATAAATTATGCTAAATTATGAATTCTACTGGTACAAACTGAGTCTGTTTAATGTAATATAGTTTTATAAACGGTAGTGTAAACATAGATTAAAGTAGCTTAGCCCAGTGATATTAAAACTTATTGAAGGGGCCATAAAGATGTTGTAGAGTGGTATATCGGGCAGTAAAGTAATAATTTATTAGGTGATAAAGGTCACAATTTGAAACATTTAACTATGCCAGGCTCACTGCCCGTAGGATGAGTATAGCTTGCTTGGAGTGTAATAGGGGATCAAAAACCTTTGATATACTTTTTACGAACTGTTGTATGGAAATAACAGTCTGGCGTCACTTGAACATTATTTTAAAACTCAGCAAATTATTGTTAATTTCAAGTCCATTAAATTCTAATATCCTACTAATATTATAAAGACGAAAGTTTGGATGTCATGATGTCTGGATGTTTGTTACTCTTTCACGCAAAAACTACTGAACGGATTTTGTTGAAACTTTACAGTATTATTATTCATAAAAAAATAAAATATAGGCCATAATTTATGACGATATGTGACAAATAAATTTCAATAAATAAATAAAACGTGTCTAAAAAGCGCCATCAATCAATATTCACTAGGGCATGAATATCGGAATCTCGGAATCTCGTAATATCGGAATCTCGGACTGCGAGATCCGATATTTCAATTCCGATATTGAGCGACCCAATATCGTAATATCGGAATCAGATAAAAGTTTTAATTGAGATTTTAAACAAAGCGTTTAAACTCGCCACAACCTGCCACAAAGCCCAAAGTACATGATTGGNTAATATAATCCTAACAACAAATAAACGATAATAAGAAAGTTTTTCATATGAATTACTAGTAAGTAAAGGAACAAGTGAATAGTGTCTGATCCCCTAAAGCACAGCAGTGGTGTGAACTGCTGGCTAAAGAGTTATCACGTTAAGCTATCATATAGCTGGTATGTATAGATATTAAGGTTGTGAATTGTGTCACCACAGTCCAATCCACGCTTTTTGGACCAATTTGAAAGAAACTACTTTTGTTTCTAAGGCTCGGACTACAAGTAGCATGCATCATAATATAAATAACTAGCTTTCCGCCTGCGGCTTCGCGCGCTTTGACTACATTATCTAGATATTTTACGGAACCCTATTTTTTTTTTTTTTCAAAATAAAATTTAGCCTATGTTACTCGTAGATAAATGTACCTTTCGAATGGTGAAAGAATTTTTAAAAACGGTCCAGTAGTCTTTGAGCCTATTCATTACAACCAAACAAACAAACAAAGTTTTCCTCTTTATAATATTAGTGTAGATAACAAGGGTTATAAAGAAATGACATTTTATTGATAAATACTTATACAGATAAATTATACAACTGATTTGGTGGGAATGCAATAAAATACACAAAAAAACAGCAAGTATGGCCAATGGCAACGCTAGCATTCTGGATTAGAGTTGAGGCACAACACAAGCAAAGATTTGTACTGTATACGCTCGCTGCTGGGCTGACGTCTTGCGAATTCTGACTTACAAATGATTTCTGTCTCGCTTGTACACTTCAAGAGCGAGGAAACTAGTGTATAGTCCCAATATACTGAACTGTCCTATTCATGACATTGACAGCGGGGCGCCACCGTCAATACCGGATCGCTGGTTCCGATTTTTGCCATGATGGAAACCATGTAGTTGAACTATGGTTGCGCCCCCCTGTCATTGAGTTTGGTGGGTCATCTATTTCGTTATTTGAACTTGAAGTGTAACGTGTTGTGTGTGTTCTTACACAAGTGTGAATACCGTTTTCGCCTCAACTTTCGCTGCGCGAACTATAAAACGGTATACTAGAGTTTGATTTTCATTTAAAGTTTCTTTACCTGATGCTTGCAGTCCGAGCCTAAACGTTTTAATATGAAGCATAACATCATTATTTGAAATAACCAGCCCGGCAGACTCGGTGAACTGTGGAATGATGATTGACGACTTTATCCTTTAAATTGATTGCCAATAATGCTTGAAAAAACTATTATTAGCGCTTTATTAAAACATGAGGCGAGTTTATAAACGAATTTCATTTGAAAATCTTATATTCACTATTAATAATATTCGATAGGTTATTAAATATGTATAACATATTTCAGTAGTTGTGTAACATTAAATAGTAGTTTAACGTAACAAATTGTATAATCCTCTCAAATATGAGACCTTTTGAAGACTGTGTACAATAAAAATAAATTTTAGAATTAAACTAAGCTCTCTGGACTCTGCATGGATGTCTTGCCAATATGCTCTCTTTTTGAACTTTTTATGTACATATGGAGTTTATGTAACTTGTGTGAAAATATAAATACTGCAGGCCAAAGAAGAACCCGAATCTCAAGAACGGCTGACAGGCTGTCGTAAATACCAAAACATTATTCTATTTGTCATTGTGCCATATTTTAACCGAGATGAGATTCTCTTAATTCTGTAATCGATACTGAGTCCTAGTTTATAATGAAACCACGAGTTATTCTTTGGCCTACTCTATGACGTCATTTAAATGGTCAATTCAATTAAAATTCGAGCTCTGATGTGTATTTTGGAAATTTTGAACACTATAATGTAATTTTACGAACATAGTTAATAAACAATAAACCTAAGGTATTGATTATTATAATAATTATGTATCCCAAAATTATTTTTTGAAATTAACATTATCTAATTTATTACTTCAAAAATATGTAGGTAGGTATGTTTTTTAACTGCTTTTATAATATGTACATATTTTATATAATTTGCAGTTTTTTGAATTTTTATGAAATTTGATTTAATAATAAACGAGTTTTGTTTGGGACTGTAATAATATCTAATCGTAATATTATCTTAGATACCTTTGACAAAATATAATGAAGTCAAGGTGTAAGAGCTTGCAATTAAGTACTTATATATCTTTTGTGATGAATTTCAATGCTTCCTAATATCTACCTATTTTGCAACGAAATTATAAGCATCTCGCCAAAACATTGGCACACTCGATCTCAAAAATACTGCATAGTATTAATTTATAATGTACTTAAAATGTGAACTAAGATTTATTAATTACCCCAGAATCATACTGAAAGCAATAACTGATTTGCATTGCAACGTAAATGGTAAAAAAGGTTCAATTGAAACCTAAAAATGTA